ACACACACACACACACACACACACACACACACACACACACACACACATATATATATATATATATATGTGTGTGTTAAAATGTGTTCTCATATTAACTTGTCTTTATGAGTTTGTTGTGTTTTGTGTTCATACTGCCTTATTTGCTTAAAAAAGGGCACAGCTGGAGGTTATGTAACCAGCCATTTTGTTTGTCATTATGTTTGTGCATGTTGTTCTGCTGTTATCCACTAGGGGTGATAAGAAATAGTTCTGTGTGTGAAATTGTTCTGAAGAAGAAGTTGTGGGGCCTGTGTGATAACAATAAACAAACATTTTTCTATCGGAAGAAAAGACGTGTGGTTCCTTGTGAATATAAGTATTGAAGAGGAAAACACAACAAATATGAGTACTGGAGATGAAAACGCAAAAGGTTATGGGCCCAGGCACCACACGGGAGGACGATGGGACAGACTAGTCTGCACCGGAGACAAGAACAGTTACGAACTTTGGGAGGTAAAGTTCCTGGCCTACTTGAGAACGCTAGGTTTAAAAGACCCCATCCTATCTACCTGCTGGCCCAGATGTAGAGAAGAATGCGGAATGTTATGCGGAACTAATCCAAGTCCTTGATGATAGGAGCCTATCATTGGTGATGACAGATACCGTCGACGAGGGGAAGAAAGCTCTTCAGATACTACGCGGCCATTACGCCAGCGAAGACTTAACCTTCACTCAGTTTAAGAGCAGACTTTGAAGCTACGAAGAGACAGAAAAGTTTGGAAGCAAATCAAAGTCAGATAACGTAATGACAGTAGACATGACAACTGTAAACTGCTACAACTGTGGACAATGCGGGCACATGGCGAGAGACTGCTGCCAAAAGAGTACACCAAAATGTTGTAGCTACCACAGAAGCACAACCTACAGCGACGAGACATGCATAGGAAAACTGAAACGGAAAGATAATGCCAAGCAGAATTCAGACAAGCAGGACAACCATGAGGAGGACCATACCATGGTATTCAAAGTCAGCCAGAATATTCTACCTGACAACATCAAGCAAAATGGAATGATGGTGGACTATGGAGCCACATCACACATAATCACTGATGAAGAGCTGTTCA